AAAAATCATAGTGGAAGTACTGAAAAATCCTACTGAAGAGTGTTATTTAAAACTCTGCAAGTGACAACAATTAAAATGTTCTTCTTTCAGGATACATCTGTTCAACTGTATATACTGCAGGGTTTCTTTCAGTAAATACTTCCAGAAAGAGCATTTCAATAAACAACCCTATGCTTTGACGACTTGTTATAATACATGCTTTTATGCTTTTGAGCATCTTATTTGAATTACACAGATAATTTCTTATGCTTGTTTGTCTCTAGAAAAATCATCCTAGTTTTTCTTAAACAGAGGACAAGGACACCTTCACTGAGGCCACCTCAATGCTAATTTACAGATCAGCTGTCTGAAATACAGATGCCCTAGGAAACGAGTGCCTGTATAGAGCTTAAAGCATTGGTTTTGACCTAGTAAACCCTAAACAGACTGATACCTTCTTACCTGAGAAGCCACTGCTGCCTCTGTGTCAACTGCGTGCTAACCGTTTTGGTTCAGAGTCCATCTGTACTGCAATATTTCTTCTCACAAAGCTGTGAAATGTCTCAGGTTTATTCTTATAACACTTTCTCAGTGGGCTTCTGGCAAGCACTAAAGCACAGAAGATCAAGATCTAGGATTTCTAGGGGACTATATATATTTTTAATACACAAATTTTGGAATACAATTGGTGTATAAGAAAGGAAGAGAAGTGCACTGCTGAGTTTTGCAATTAATTCTCTACAGGAAAGCAGAATAGATGGAATATTGCTGGCACTTAGACCAGGGCGGGGGGGAACATCATTTTATATTTAAACCCATTCAAATAAATTGTGAATAAAAAGAAGACACAGTTTACACAAGTCACTAGGCTGAGTGTATGGAAAATAGAAGGTGTTATTCCACCCGTCTCTGCATAACATTGGCCAAACTGTTAGTGTTAAGAAGGTAAAAGCAAGAAGAAATGTTGTCTGATTGTTTCATGCAGACCTACTGAAGTCACTGAAGTTACAAACCCAAACAAGATTTGTGAGCCCATAGGAAATGCCCTTGTGAAATCAATGGAAGCCTTCATGAAAAACTCTTAAACAGAGTATCAGCCATTTGGGATTATTGTTTTTCCTCAAAATGCACCATTTTTTCTTTGTGCCTTGCGCATTGGAAATATCAGTAACTGGTAACTATGGTAGTCATTAATGAAAAAAAATAATGAAAAATACTATTTTGGGAAGTAAATATTCTATTTTGAAAGCTGACATTGCCAGTTTTCACTGTGAGAACTGAGCCCATAAATGAGAAACAAAGAAGATAGTTGCAATATCTTTTATGGAAATACATCATAACTTTGTAAAAATTACAAAGTTACATTTTTTCAAAAATTTTGTGTATTGCATCAGGCAGTTGGAATTTTATATAGATTTTTACTGGATATAAAAACCAGCATATATGGGTTGTTCATAATCTGCACTGCTGAGGGAGAGGCCTATAACTCTTTGGTAATCTGTTTCTTGGGAACAGCTATTGAATTTGAATTGTTCCATCGCTTTAAATTGATGGATTATGAAAGATTTGCAAAATACATTGACTGCTTTATCTGAAACAGATGCAGTTTAGATTCAACTGTTGTATAAAAAAAAGAACCCCAGCTATAGCAAATGCAATTGTATCTGACAGACAAGAATGTGATCCTTTTACTTAGTTATATAGCAAAGAAATACAATTTACATGTCAGTGGGATCAAATGAAGCCACCAAATCCAAAACAATTACTGTTCTCGAGCAATGCTTTACATTATTAAAATAGGGAAGTTGAAGGAAAGTGCAATTAAGTATACCAAAATGCTTTCTGTGGGGATGAAAGATGCTAAGTAATCATGTAACAAGCTAATGAACCCATAACACATTTTTTATTTAAAAAAATAAGTTCTGTTATTAGAAGTTGCAAAACACCAACAATCTGGCAGTGTTCAAGGCCAGGTTGCACAGAGCCCTCGTCAACATGGCCTAGTGTGAAGCATTCCTGCCCATGGCAGGGGGGTTGGAACTAGATGATCTTAAGGTCCTTTCCAACCCTAAATATTCTATGAATCTATGATTCCCTTTGCAATCTTACTTTGGACTCTCCCCCCATGAAATGGCACATCAAAGATGGTAGGGTGTGTTCAACCAAAAAAGGAACATGTGTTTTGTAAGAAATTCTGTGGGGTTTCTGACCAGCTCTACCCTCTTCGCAAATGCAACATTTTCAAAACTTACCTGAAAAGGGAGGCTATCACCAACACTGCAATAGACAATTATATTTTGTTTTCAATAAGGCAAATGTAAATACTAGAAAGAAACCATAGTGATAACACTTCAGAAAATTTGGTATTCATGTAATGAAAGAACAGAGAATTATATGATTTCCACCATAAAAATCCAGAGTAAGGTTGGAAAAAGACCCCCTGAGGCCCAGCTAGCCCAGTGTTTTGGGGTCAGGCTGCTTGGGAACTTGTTCAGCTGTTTCAGATATATCCAAGGACAGAAATTCCACAACCACATTACTCCAAGAATGCATGGCTCTGTAGATAGGACAATGGAGTGAGACTTAAATCTATTTCCGGTGGTCTTAAATAACTTGTTACAAGTCTTTTATGTGACCTTCAGCTTCTCCACTTGCAAAACTAGCAGAATTATTCAAATCTGTATGATGTTCTTTGAGATGCAACTTATTGCATTATAAACACTGTGTAAACAACAATATACTCAAAGATGTTATCGCTGCAAAGTAAATATTTTTAAGTCTTTGGATTTCACTAGGGAAGGTATGAAACAAATAGGGAGAAACTGCATTTTACATAAACCATCAGACCACTTTCAACAACAGCTACAGCAGCCTCAACTCATAGAGGCCTCAACTATTGTTAACTTCAGCTCTTGGTTTCTTTGTTACTGCTGATACTGGTGACTTTTACTGCTCAGGGTACGTAGTTCTCACCCTAGACTGGCATCCTTTTCATCATGTTCTCAACGTTTAAATTAATGACTAGTGTGTTCATTTTGGTTATCCTCAGATTTTATAAGAAAATCACCAATTTATTTTTCTTTCATGTTAGACTGTAGGTCTAACATGAAAGAAACATTCTGCCCAGAATGCTGAATCCTTGGGTGGCATTCTCATCAGTTGTACTGCACGTAAGGACTCTATTTCCCTGTTCGTTATGGTGAACAGCCTATGCTTAGAAATGCATCAACACTACTTAGACTATGAAGGTGAAAATCCCAAAGCAGAGAGATCTCTGTTTCAGCAACTTCTGCTTCCGCTGGGATTTTGTTTAAAGATAATTTCTTTAATTCTTCATGTCTCATCCTGGACGTTTTTTTTGCAGATACATGTGAATCACCATGACTTTGCAACATTGTGACTGAGGGGACAGATATTACAATGTTAAATTCAGGATTAAGTTGAATTTAGTTCCACCTGTCAGAAGTGTATCTCATTTCAAAGGAGAGTACCCAGCTGAGGTCTCACAGGATACATAGCTCACCTATTACACAGCTTGAAATTATGATCTCTGAAATCAAAGAGCTTTTAGGTCACAAATGCCACAAGATTTGGAGTCATGCAATGCTACCCTTTCCTACTGCCACCACTGCTTTCTCACATCCCATATCCCCATCTGGGCTGTGGCCACTTCAGGAATGACATTCAAACGTCTGAAATGGGGGATTTCTCCAAGATGAAGCAGAAGGGTGATACAGAGATTAAAAGCTCCCAGGAGTATGAGTGTAGGTAGGACTCACACTCCATGTGGGTGGCTCTACTGCCATCTCTTCCTCAGTGACCTCGAGCAAACACAGTGTACATTCAGTTTCTGACCTTTTGCATGCAGATGATAAATCGTCCTTAGCTCTGTGAGACTTAGCACAGGATCAGAAAATACTTCAGCAGCCTTTCATCCATGAAGACTGAAACAGCACAGTATTTACACTGGTTGTGTTTGCATGACTTGTGCTGTACCCCGCACTGGCAGACTCGAACAGCTCGTTGAAACACTATTTTGGGAACCTGCATGCACTGACCTCTGCTCGATTGTATGGGGAATGAGGCTGTGGCATGGTGATGGCTAATGTAAATAGCCCAGCCCGGTGACAGGACGAGGTGCTCAGGCGCGTTTCACCTGCCGGTAAAACTCTGCCGAGGCCGAAGAAAGATAACAAACCGAAGGGCAGGGGAGTTAGGGATCAGCGCTGGGCTGGGCCGTGCTGGCGGGCAGGAGAACGCACCTAGGCCTGGCGGGGCTTTCCTGGCCCGCATGGCGAGGTACTTTCCGCCCTGCAGCAAGCACAGTTAACCTTTGCGTTACTCCCACTTCGTCCCAAAGGGTGGAAACTCCGAGCAGAAAATACTCGGGCAGGGCGATAGGAGCGATAAAAGGAGGGAAGGTATTTTTAGGTAACTTGAGGTAACCGGAGGCGGCGGGGGGTGACAGGGTGGGCTGTGGGCGGGAAGCGGTTTCCTACCCCGCACCACGGACCGGGCACGTAGCTGCGGTTGCAGTACAGAGAAAGGGCCATAACCGCGGGTAGGGCGGGGAGCTGCTGGCAGGGCAGCGAGGCCGAGGCAGTGGGCAAAGGTGCCATGGCCGCGGCCTTCGCCCGTCCCCCCTGCTGCTGCCGTTGTCGCGGCCGGGGGCAGATGCGGTGCGAACAATGGGCGCCGCCGGCCGCCACAGAACAAAGGCGCGGGCGGGCGCAGTGACTTCACCGCCGAGCCCGCCCCCGCCGAACCTGCCCCTCTGCCGTCTCCTAGCAACCGCGGGGACCCACGGGCCCGGCGCGCACCGACTGCGGCGGGGCCCGACGCCTCTGCGGGAGGCCTGGGTGGCAGCGGCGCCGGCCGCGCTCCCGTGCCCGTGCTCCCCAGCCCCGGACCCGTGGCGCAGCGGCCCCGGGGGAGGCGGGTGCAGCCGCCGGGCGGTGGTTTCCCTGAGGGAGGTGCTCGGCGGTCGCCGCTCCCCGCGCAGTGGCAAGTGCCTCCCCTTGCGCGCCGGGCTGGAGGCGGATGGAGGGAGCAGCCCTCAGCGCTCGCCCGGGACCGCGCCGCTGCCTTCGCCTCCCGGGGGCTGCCCTTGGTGGGGTGCAGGGGCGCGGCAGGCACTGTTCCTGAGATGCAGTGTTACGTGCCCGCCCCGCCGCGCACCCTACCTGTGCTGGGCCCGCTGCCGCTCCTCCCCTGGCCCCGCCGCCGCCCCCGCGGGGGCCGGGACTGAGCGCGCCGCGGCGCCGAGACGCTGCCCCGAAGAGAGGGAGAGGGAGCGGGACCGGAGCCGGCCGCGGCGCACAATGTGGGTGCCGCTGCTGGCGTGCCTCACCGCGGGGATCATGTCCCTGCCCAAGTGTCAGCGCGGTCCCGGACCCCTCCTGGGAGCTGCCCGTCTGCTGGCCGCCGTGCCGGGACTCTGCCAGCACCGTAAGTTGCCAAGCCCCTCGGGCTGCTCGCCGTGCCTGTGGCTGGTCGGGGTTGTACTTGGGGTTGGTTTCCGCGCGGGGGCCGTGCGCTGGCTGGGGGCCATGTTCGGGCTCGGCGGCGGTCTTCGGGGCACAGCCCTGACAGCCGGGGCTGCCCGGCGCCGCAGCACGCACTGCCCCGGGCGGCCGGGAGGAGCGGTCGGAGTGTACCTGCGGGGAGAGCCGGACGGGAGCGGCCGGCCCCTGCCCAAACGTCACGCTGCTTAAGTACTGGTAGTGAGAGCCTGTGACCTAATGGTACGTACCGGAGGCGGCCAGCCTTTGACGGAGCCATGGCAGCTCCCCGGGAGCGGGTCCTGAAGTGCCCGCTCACCCACTGGAAGCCTCCGAGAGGCAGCGTGCAGGACCCCCGGGGGGTCACAAGCTTTGGATGGGCCATTCTTAGGGATGAAAGCTCTCATGTTTTTATCTTTTATGTGACATTTAGTGGCGGGTTTAAAATGGATAGAGTTATAGGGAGGTGGCCTTCTCGTTACCTTGAGTAACGTGTATGCTGACAAGTCCCGAGAGCTGTGGTATGCTGGTAGCAAAGGCTCTGGTACATTTGGGTAACCCCTCAGGGTGCGGAAGGGCTTCCTCAACCCCTGAGCATCAGCTTTGGTGCATGCAGGCTGAGGAGTTTGTGCAAATGTACCTTAGATCATGCAGTATTTGATCAGACAGAGCTATCAAGTTAGTCATGTACTTCATAAAGGATCAAAAAAGCATATCAAGTTGTCAATCACTTTTCCGTATTTTTCCCCCCTCTTATGGAATAATTGAGTATTCCAAATTTAAGCCTGGAGTTAATTTAGAATGTTAACATGTAACCTCTAAAAATAAGACTGACAATGGGAACGGTGTATTAGTCTTAAGTTTTTCATTGCATATGTGACAAATTCATGCCTAATTCAGTAGGATTTGCCCAGTGCCGTTTAAAACAATGGAATAATTTGTTAGTTTTCATAAGATAATTTGGTTTGCTTTTTTGGCTTCATATTTTGGATTCAAAACCAAACTAAATGTCAATAGGAAAAATGTAATATTATTAAATTTCTTATGAAACATGGCATCTTGTGTTTGGTATCCCAGATTCTTTTTTATGCAGTGTAATTGAGTGAAAGATTAACTGAAACTTTATGAAGAGGATAGTTCTGTGCCCGAGTGGGTTGTTGTGCTTGCTCATGAGCATCACTCCTGAGTACACACTAGTGCAAGAAATGCATTGGAAGAGAATGCTGTAGGGGAAGATGGTGCACGGTACTTTTGTGCCACAGGATGCTTGCTCTCTCTGTTGTGCTTGATAGTGAAAATAGTGAAATGGTAATGAGTTACATGCTTAATGTGACAACAGCTCCCAGATTGGGCAGACTGTAACTCAGACCTTGGTTTTTGCTCTTCATTTGAAACCTCTGCTAATTCATGAAAGCTGAAATTCCTTTCTTCACACTGAATTCCTTTCTTCATACATAATCACTTCACAGACTTGAGCCACAGTTAAAGCAAGAAGAGGGTTTGTTGTGTTTCTGTGAATGGACACATGAAATTTTTCATTGTTATTGTTGTTATTGTGTGCTTTTTACTTTTGTTTGTGGTAGCTCTCTCAGCCACTGCAGCACCACCTGGACTCTTAATCTTCCGCAGGCTGCTTGGAGAGAGACTCTGGGCTCCAGCTCCATGTACCGCTATTTGTCAGCACAGCTTTGTTGAAGCAGCCACTCCTCTTTGCTTCTGCACTGACAGTGCTCAGCATGGAGAAGAACATCCTGTTGTTCCCATGCCATCAGCAAGTTCAGTTTATTTGTGTGCCAAGTTGGCAGAACCTGCATATCTGTTGCATGAAATCTCCAGTTCTAAAAGAGACTGGAATTAATATTAAATGTACATGGAATTCATGTTTATTCATTCTTGTTGGAACATTTATGGCTCTTCTAATTGAAAAATGAATGGTTTGATGCTACCTGAGTATGTGTTCTGCTAACCACATTTTGAGATGCCAGTTACTGCTTGGGAATAAGTCAAAGTAGAACTTGGCCCTGATTTTGGAGTTATGAGGAGCACAAAAGGAAATCTCACAACACTGTAAGTTTGCAAATCGTAAATTAAGGGTTCTGTAAGCTCAGATAAAAAACTTAGTGTTGCCTCCTTCTACAAAGGGTCCCTTGTTCAATATGTCTCACCAAAGGAAATTTGCAGTTCGCTAAGCCAACTATAACAAATACCTGGCAAGAACTGAGGTAGTTCTATAGTGATTTCTACAGATCACAAATTTATATTTGCATGCTAAAGCCTTACAAACTCCTAAGGATGTGAACCAGTGAACTTAGTAAGAACTGGATTCTACAGTAAGAGCATGTGTTTGCAGTATGGTAACCAGTTGTGTAAATGCTCATTTCAGTGGGGACAGTTAGTTCCCTTGCCTTGTTCAGAAACTGAACTGTTGAAACCCTTTAGTTTTTATCTGCTGTATAAGCACATGGAATATGTTGGTCTTAAATACTGAGCAATGACTAATTAGTCAAGGTTAACAGAGGACATTGGTTCAAATCTCAGCAATGTCTCAAAAACAGTTTTTATGTGCATTAAAATTTGAAAAATTAGGTATTTGGTGCTTTCAGAAATATCTAGGTGGTCATTGCTATGAAGCTCAGGTAAACAGTTTACTTGTGATGTGCACACAGGGATGGGAGGGTGTGAACATCTGTCCCTAATTTAAGAGTTGGAGAACAATCTCACAACAATTCTCTTACACAGTCATGGCTGACAAGTCTCTTGACCATTTAAAAGCTGTTTTTTCTTCTTCAGAGTGTCATTTGGAACAACTGTTTAGTGGGTTTGGGAAAGGAGAGGATCTGTGATCATAGCAAGAACAACTATTAATTGATTTATTCCCAACAGCATGACTTCTGATGCCGAACAGATTCATCAGTGTTGGTTGTCTTATCTGGCCCTTTGGTGTTTTGCCAGTCTTGTCACCTGAGTTTCTCATGTGTGTTCCCTCTAGTTAGAAAGTTCCATAAGTCATTATTGTGTTACTTCTCAAAGGAATAGGAAAGGTCAGTCAAAGGAAGAGCTGTTTTTGAAGAGAGGTGGTCAGGAAATGTCCCTGCACACACATAAAAAAGTCTGAAATAAATGATACATTATTATAGCTTTAACTGGTGTTTGTTGATTTCTCTTCCTGTGCTGGCCCATTTCCTTCTGGGGCTCAGTGGAAGAAACTGTGTTGCATGGGATACTCAGCACTGAGACAGTTCTGCTTTTACTAAGGTTTGAATCAATCCAAGAAAAAGAGAAACCCCATTTTTAATTTCCTGAGCCTGCATGGGTGATCTGCTTCTGGGGGGTAATGGACCATCTTCGGGAAAGCCAGCCTGGGTGTTTTTGAGGGCTGTAGGTTGCAGTTCTAAGGAACAGCAAGGGGGAGGTTTGTTTATCTGCACATTGCCCAAGGAGCACATTATGGCAATGGTATGCATAAATTTGCTTTGCAGATTGAACACTTCCCATAATCTGTTGCAATTTCATGTCTTTTCGGGGGGGGTTATGTGGTAATTTATTGTTTTTTTAATTTATGGGTTTTGCAGGTTGAATGATACTGGTGATTGCATGTATAGTATTTACAATGTTTCCATGCTAAAGATGTTTGAGATGGGGTGACACTGGGAAAAGAGATGGGCAGTTTGCTAACTAGAAGAGCAATACGCGTACTTTTGGTGCTTTGGGAAGTTTTTGTCTCTATGTCACTGAGGTCATGCTGTTGCTGAAGGAAGCTGTGAAGGCAGCCTGAAGATTGTATGTAGTAGGAATTCCCTGTGTAGAAGTTTGAAGAGGCAGTAGTTTCTTTTCTGGTCCTTAAGCTTTCAAGGACTGGAACTACAATGACTGAGTAAGCATTTAAGAGACCTGAATGAATAACTTTGATTTTGCATTAAAGTATAATCTAAGTTTAATTTATCTCCCCTCCCCAGAACATCAGAAAGATGTCATAATGTGAGCTTTATGGAAGCTTTAGAAATTATCCATCAAGTAAGCCCTCATCTGGTTGTATGTTCAACATGAAGATATTAAAATATCAGATTATAATCTCCTTTATACTTCACACAGTGCATAAATACTGGTAACATTTTTTAATTCCCTTGAAAGAATTCATGATGACATGTCCATGCTAATTGTGTCTTGAATTTGGGACAATTTGTAGGAGGTATGAGAAGAGAAACATAGAATATTATTTTTACAAATTGTGTAAATTGACATGGGCTGCTGCTATTTATCAAGACTTACTCAGAAAGTCAGATTTATCATCACTGTGTTTGTGAGTAAGTCCTTTGTTGGGAGCTCCGAACCCCAGTTCTTTAGAATAGGCTCATATAAGAAAGAATAGCATTATCACACAAATAAACTCTACACTACATACAATAATTATTTATCACCAATGCACATTTTTAAAACTGCATGTTGCTAAACTGTACTTTTGTAGTATTGGGATAGGTTTATTGTAAGCAGTGATCAGGATTTAATTAGTTGTATCAGGGTAAGAAGGACAAGTGGAGTGATTTTGTGTCCTGAGCTTTAAAGTTTGCTCAGTGTTCTTAAAATACATTAATAACACTAAAATCATATGTTACATGTACAAGACATACATGAACTATCCTCTGCTTTTACTGTAACTGGTAGGGCAGATGTCTTGGTATTAATCTGGTTTCTCAAGTTGAATGTACTAAAAACAAAAATCCAGAGAGGTGTATCAATTCCTTTGTGTTAGTAAACTTTTTGTGTTTGAATTTGTTTTTTAGGGTTGTTTTTTTTTTTTTTTTGGGGGGGGGGGGGTTGGTTTTTTTTATTTGTTTTTTTTTTAATCAAATTCTTACAGCTTTGGTGTTTCTCTTTCTATTTAAATCCTCCTTTCAAGCAAAATATTTCTCCAAAGCTCCTGTATGTGTTCATTACTAATTGCTGACT